AAGAAAGCCCAAGAGTTACAGTGTGTGCTACAAACTTCAGACAAAACACAAACGTCTATATATGACAAAGGTCAAACCACCATTGTCAAGACTATATCTTTGTACCTTACATCAACTTCTCAGGATCAAGGTATGAAGGGATAAACGAATCAAGTTCGATATTTTGTAGAGAAATTATCTGTAACCTAGCTTTGACTAGTCCAAGACCACTTTGAAATCTTTGGTGAGGCAATGGAGCTGTCGAAGCAAGAACATTCAATGCGTTTACCCCTATCATACAACGGCAAATTCTAGAATTTTAAGAAATCTTGCTTCATATTCCTACAGAGTTAAGATTTTTTGACCTTCTACCGCCAAAGAGATCCTCCACCTAATGAGTTCGTGTTCGTGTTCGAGAAGGTTTCATACTAGAAATGAACATTCACATGAAAATGACCTCTTCTCGTTAAATTGTTTCTCCGAGCCCCGAGCACACACACGTGATGTATCTCCCCACATTCGCTACATCATTGTTAATCTATATTGCTTCTAACGTTTTGGCCAGAACAACTACATAATCTAATTGATAATTGCTCCCTCGAGAGACCTTAGGGAGTAATTGTACCTCTCCTTGAGGACTCGACATTTCAATTTCAAAATTTCAACTCTTCTTTCGCTCTCTCGCCAATCGGAGCCTCATCTCTTTCCAACCAAAGTTCTTCAAACTTGCGTGAAGGTATTGTCGGGCGATCGAGCTTAGCTAGAAAGTTGGCATTTACCCCCCGAAGGCCTTGCTCGTTAGCACACAACTCAACACTGTGACCGACGCAGCAGAAAATTGAGCTGGAGATAACACAAAAACGTCGAGAATGACGGACCCCGTCGATTCAGCGTAAGTAAGAATTATTGAATTTGATCATGCCGGGGGAAGCGCTACCCCCTCTTTCTCCAGGTTTCAAGTTCTTTTGGGCGTTATCGTGAACAGTGACCACCTGCTAATACTTATATTCTTAGTCACAAACGCAGTAAATCATCTGCTTTATCTCTTCTTCGCAGCAGGAGGGAGGGAAAGGATGACGAGAATGTAGAATATCAAGCCCCGACGTCTCCGGCGACCACGGCACACTCACCCACGATTTCAGCTGCACCATTTCAGCCCACTCTTGGACATTCATCGAAGAAGTCGACCAGTGCAACAGGGCTCATGAGATCAGCTTCTAATGTCCATCCGCGAAGCACGGCTACTTTATCACCCGACAAGACGATGTCCATCGAGCAGACTGTTCGAAAGTTCAAGATATTTGAGGCATTAAAAAATGGAGATACAGCAGCAATATCAAAGGCAATCCGTGAGTCTGATGGTAGTCGAATGAGCATCTCTAGCTTTGCAACCGTTTCAACCAATTTGGAAGATACCACCATCCTGCACTTAGCTATTCAATGTGCTGAACAGCAAGTAATCGAGTATGTGTTATCTGATGGAGCGGGAACAATTGACGTCAATGCAAAAGATCGTGATGGGAACACGGCTCTTCACCTTGCTGCAAGCTTAGGTCGTGGCCCTATTGTACGCTTGCTTCTTGGGCAGCCCGGTATCAACGATTCTTTACCAAATTATGCCGGTCGCCTACCTCTCGACCTTGCTCGAACACCCGATATTTTCCAGCAATTACAGCTCTCTCGTTCAATGTTTGTGGATGGCAAAATAAAGCAAATACATGAACTGGTTGCGCACGGAGACTATAAGACATTGGGTGAAATTCTGGAGGAGCCCCGAGTCAAAACGGTCTTGGATATCAATGGTGGAGAATTCACTTCTGACCCAATCACGGTACAAGCTGGTGGTACTTTACTCCATGAAGCTTCCAGGAAAAAGAATATTGAACTCATACAAGTGCTGCTGTTACATGGTGCTGACCCGTTCCGTCGCGACCGAAAAGGAAAGTTGCCGCAAGATTACACAAAAGATGATGCAACCAAAGCTATGTTAAAGAAGTCTCCTGCTGCAGTTGCCGCTCAACGCGGAATTCAGGAGAAAGCTGTTCTCGGGAATGCATCTCAACAAGGAGCAGTCAATGCCAATCCGTCAGATGCACTAGCTGGAAAGGAGGGTCGAGAAATGCAGGGTTATCTCAAAAAGTGGACAAATTATCGCAAAGGTTATCAATTACGTTGGTTTACCTTGGAAGATGGCATCCTAAGTTATTCCAAACACCAGGACGATGCAGGCTCTGCTTGTCGAGGTGCAATTAATATGCGTATCGCAAAACTCAACATGGATCCTACAGAGAAGACCAAGTTCGAAATCATTGGAAAATCATCTGTCAAATATCACCTTAAGGCGAATCATGAAGTTGAGGCTAAGAGGTGGTTTTGGGCGCTGAATAATTCTATCCAATGGACTAAGGATCAGGCCAAGGAAGAGGAAAAGCAAGAGGCCAAGAGATTAGAACTGTTGCAGCAAGCGAAAGAGCAATCTGGTAACGGATCCAAGGAAACCTTTGACAGCAATGGTCTCAACGAGCCATCTCTTGTCTATACGGATTCACGCCGTGAGAGTATACAAGGTAGCAGGCTTCTGCCACAGGCTAGCCTCAGCAGGATACCAAGTCCACGAGTCGCATTTACCAGCATTGCTGGCAGTGTTGGTGATGAAGAAGAGACTAACTATGGATCATATAACCCAAGCTTCATCGGTGATGGAAGTAGAATACCAAGTCACATTGGAACTGGACCTGTGGATGGAGATGATGATGATGAATATGGAGATGGCTCTAGTGAACACGAGATGCCGGCAAGTAAGGATGCTTTTGAAATAACCGCTCAATCTGCTCGATTACAACTCGAACTCATGGGACAAGTCAATGCAGCTTTACAAGTAGAGCAATCCCGAAATCCAAATCTCGTCATCTCTGATCCAGTTGCGAACCAAGCAACCGCGACATATGATTCGGCCATTCGTAACCTTAAGGGTCTTGTTGGCGATCTTTTGAAAATTTCCAAAGATAGAGATGCATATTGGCAACAACGTCTTGATCGGGAAGAGCATATGCGAAGGATGTGGGAAGAAAGTATGGCTCAAGTAGCTCGTGAACAGGATGAATTAATGGCTCGTATGGGCGAATCGGAAGAGAAGAGAAAGATGACAAAACGAGCCCTTCGTGAAGTCACTCGATCGGCATCTAGACCAGCTAGTAGAGGTGAATTGGTAGCAAAAGCTGAGATAGATGAGGCTCTTGATGACGTTTCTCTCAATGATGACGGAACTGCTCCTCTAAGACATGTACCGACTAGCAAAAGCTCATTACGTCAGAAATCAATCGTTGAAGGTATCCCTGATATGTCTGATTCGGACTCAGATGAAGATGACGAATTTTTCGACGCCGTTGATGCCGGACAAGTCGAAGTGGTCAAAGCTTTACCGCTTTCGAGTCCTGCAGTAGGTGTAACTGAAGAGTCAAAGGAGGATGAACTTGTTAAAGTTGAGGGGCTAGACATCAGTTCTGCTTTCAAGGGATACGAAAATGGCGTAAGAACTCGTTTGAAGATGGATGCTGATGATCGTCCAAAAATTTCTCTATGGGTATGTACTTGAGCTCGTTTTATTCCGATATCGCTAATACTTTTCAAGGGTATTCTCAAATCTATGATTGGCAAGGACATGACTAAGATGACACTCCCTGTATCTTTCAACGAACCGACATCGTTACTATATCGATGTGGTGAAGATATGGAATACGCGGATCTTTTAGATATTGCAGCAGACCGAGCAGACTCAATCGAGCGCATGGTATATGTTGCAGCTTTCGCCTCGAGTGAGTATGCATCGACTATTGACAGAGTTGCAAAACCTTTCAATCCTCTTCTTGGCGAAACTTTCGAATATGTCCGTCCTGATAAGAATTATCGCTTCTTCATCGAGCAAGTCAGTCATCATCCACCAGTGGGTGCTGCTTGGGCTGAATCTCCTAAATGGACATATTATGGAGAATCAGCTGTGAAGTCTAAGTTTTATGGAAAGTCTTTCGATATTAACCCTCTCGGTACTTGGTTCCTTAAACTTCGTCCCACTTCTGGAGGACCAGAAGAGTTATATACCTGGAAAAAGGTCACATCTTCCGTCGTTGGAATCATCACCGGTAACCCTGTGGTCGACAATTATGGGCCAATGGAAATCAAGAATTGGACAACAGGTGAAGTTTGCAACGTCGAATTCAAAGCTCGAGGTTGGAAGGCTTCTAGTGCTTATCATATTACTGGTAGAGTCAACGATGCAAACGGACAAACTCGTTTCAGTCTTGGTGGTCGCTGGAACAGTAAAATTTATGCGCGTTTCACGCCTGGTTATGAGGCAACTGTCGAAGAACCTAAATCCGGTTCTTCTCACCGCACAGGCAGTGTCAATGATCCAAGTCAAGCATTTTTGGTCTGGGAAGCTAATCCACGCCCAGCTGGTATCCCATTCAACCTTACTCCTTTTGTTCTTACATTCAATGACATTAACGATAACCTGCGTCCTTGGTTGCCACCAACAGATTCTCGATTGAGACCTGATCAACGTGCCATGGAAGATGGCGAGTACGATTTAGCTGCTACTGAGAAGAATCGCCTTGAGGAGAAACAACGTGCTAGACGACGTGAACGTGAACAGCTTGGTGAAGCTTTCGTTCCTCAATGGTTCGAGAAATCGAAATGTCCAATCACTGGAGAGGAATACTGGGCTTTTAACGATAAATACTGGAACGAACGAGAGAAGGCTGCTACTGGAGAGGCATGGAAAGGTGTTGAAGATATTTTTAATGACGTAAAGGAAGAAGAGTGATCATGTTTAGATGAAGAGATAGGGAAGGGTGTAGGATATCTGAATGTAAAGTATAAATCTTCTTTCATAGCTTTGCTTTTGGCGATGAAATGGGCGGGTTTTCATGAGACGCAACGATACATAAGAGAACACGCACATAAATAACTAGTAGTTAGCGGGCTATCAGCCAGTCAGTATAATACATATCATTCAAATCAGGTCAAGAAGTCTTGGCACGTGTGTACATGATGTAAGAGTGGAAAAATGATTTTATTTGAGCCTGCAGCAGCTCGCGGAAGTCGACCTAGAGTATATTGTTAGCTTCCATTGTCTGGATAGGTCTGGGAGGTTGATATGCACTTACCAAACAAGTCCAGATATTGCGCTTTTCGGCAGCTTTATAAAGAGCCTGAGTTTCAACACGTTAGCTCGAATTCTCTCAATGGTAGCTTTGATCGTCCGTCTGGATCAGGATTAGTTGAGGGACGTTGTACTTACCCAAAGGCAAATGAGCGACGAAAAGCATGACAGCGGAGGAAACAAGCTAAATCGGAGGTTAGCGTTGCTCAATATATCCTCCTCGTTGTTCCAGTGGATCGAGGTTATCGAAGGGCGTTGTACTGACCAGACAGACGCGGAGCGGGGGGGAGCCTAACTACAGCTCAAGAAACCTAGACGGGAGGTTAGATTGAGACCTGAGTGCGTGGTCTATTGTTTGATCCAACTAGCGCCACTGGGGGATATCGTACTAACCAGAAGGAACGACAGGACGGAGGCAGCAGTGGCAGTCTAAACTACCTTATATAAGTGGTTAGCCTTTAGCTTTCCATGTCTGTTCATTGTTCGAACGGATTTAGGTGGTTTGAGAGTATTAAACTGACCCAAAGAAAACAGAGTGGAGAAGGGCGGCGCCAGAGATCTAAACTTTCTAGATTGGAGCTTAGTGCTGCTCTGTACAACTAGTCTATTGTACAAATCTACAAGGGACATTGAGGTCTAGCGTACTTACTCAAGAACGCAGAGCACCGCGGAAGCCGACGACAGCTTAAACGCGCTATATTGAGACTTAGTTTTGAGCGCTGTATATCTGTTGATTGTACAGATGGAGGTGGCAGTTTGATACGTACTTGGCGAGGGATGGAGCGGCTCATATACAGCCTGGTGTAATCCCCGTCGGGGTCGTCTTCGTCGCCCTCCTCGTCTTCCCGACGGCGTTTCTTGGTTGCTAGACAATCGTTTAGTCTTATCGTTCCATGTTATACCACACATTCAACGGAGGTTGTAGTTTGACAACTTACTTGGCTCGTCGTCTGGGAGAGAGAAAGGCAATTCCTCCTCCTCCTCCTCCTCCTCAGCGGGATCCGAGGCTCCCGCGGTGCCGTAAATCGGACAGCCCTCTTTCCAAATAAAGCTATCGCCCTTAGCCCGAAAGCCCATATTTCTTGCCGCCTCTCGCCAATCAAAGCCCAGGTCCCTCCGATATAATATGCATTAGCTTTTACCTGTCAAGGTTTGATTGATTTTTGGGTCAAATACGTACTGTTCTTGCTCCTTGCGGGAGCGTGCAGTCTGGATCATTGCTCGTCGGTCAGCAGCATTGGCGGCCTGCCACTCTGGAGTACTCTGGACCTCCTTCGATCTACGGCAGAGAGCCTGGTTGAAGTTTTCCCGCATGGCGGCGATACACCACGGAATGCCTTTGGCATCGCAATCCAACATGCGATTGGATATGACACGGGGCGCGCAACCGGCGACAACTGTGACGGCAGCGACAGCGGTAGTGGTTGTGGCGGCGGCAGCGGTGATGGAGCTGGAGGTGGTGGAGGTGGTGTTGTTGCTGCTGTTGGCGGCGGCGGCGGCGGTAAGGCGAGAAGAAGCCTCTTTGCCCTCGGCAGGGGCTTTCACATTCTTCTTTGGTGGCATGATGGCTTTGATGGTAATGGTGTCTTTCTTTTATAAAAAAGTACTCGTTCGATGGTACTGATCGCAGAAAATATTTCTGCTGTTGATCCGCTTGACAGAGAGAAAGGAAGAGAAGAGAAGGCACAAAGTTAGACGAGATATTACTTACCTAAATTTGGGCCAACAAGGCTGCATTTACGTCTATCTACAAAGTGGCTATTGCTGGTGATAAAAAGATACATGACTGTGAAGGCTCAAGACCAAGAAGTGAATACTTGAACACGAAAACTCTGAATTCCTGAAATTTATTTCTATTTATTGTGCAATGGTTAAGGCCGAATAATTAACCTTAGACAATAATACATCTAGCATCAGTTTACTGTTTTGTTTCCTGCCTCATTCTATGCTGGTGGACAGCGGGCGACTATGACTGAGCATAAGATATCTTTTATTCTCTACATCATTCGCATACCTGTCGCACCTTACGAACAGGTTTACCCCATAGCAAAAACAAAACGTTCGACTACATCTACGATCACATATATTGACCTATTTTAACCTTCAAATCTTCAAATTTTAGGTACTTGAGCTCTATGGCATCGAATTCGGCACGGGTGAGAGGGAGGAATTACGTTCTGAGGGGACAAAATATTCCGAAGTTCAAACCTCGACGGCAGATTGCTGCTATATAGCGCACCTGTATCATCCATATCTCGGGTATATTCGTAAACAATGTGAGTTTTTCTCTGGCTGGAGGGTCGTTCACAAGGACGAAAGCTGCGGTGCTCTAGTATTTCATTCAAACAGCATTAAAAGATAAGAAGCGCGGCACAGCGGACATGCATAATGATAACAGGAGAACCGATCCTTTGCCTGTCACTACGATACTCTCGGGGCTATCGAGGTCGAAAAAGAATTTAAGATGACTGCAAGAATGGAACAAAGAGGTGGGGGAGGAATCCGAGGAAGGACTAACAGACCGTCCAATTTTATAGCGATGCGAAAGGCGCATTTGGTAGGGCGATAACGATCCTAGAAGAGGATATCAAGATTTGCGAGCTTGAACGACCTTGACTACTAGACATTGGGTAAGTTGTGGTCTGGTGGCAGCATTTCAGGGAAAGGGAGCAATTGTAGTGAAATAGCAGTGGAATTGGATAATGGAGAAGATTAGAGCATAAGATGGCATTGTTCAATATTTTCATAGTAGCACGGAAGCAAGAAATTGTGGTACTGCATTATGAACATACGTCCTTTGAAAGTTTGTGCTATGGATATGAACTCTTTGTTGACAGGAGTTGAGTTCATGAGCGTCAAAGGCGCTATGAGATAATTTACATTCTTTCTTTCGTTGTATTAATCAATATAAAAGTATGAGATTGAGGCTTTGAATGTTCACCTGCTCTCAAGTTCATCATTACCATAGTATATACATTCTTTAAAGATGTCATAGTATACATAGTCTAATTTCTTGCCCCGGATACAAGTAATACTACACTTCCGAATTGCCTCCTGATATCTTCTCTCTCAACATCATGTGTATCTTCAACAGCTCCCCACATCCCAGTCTGCCAATCTACCTCTAAACTTGCAGCTTTGGCTGCCTCCTCTACACCAAATTTCTTCTCGGCAGCTTCATCTCGTAAATGTGCTAACTCAGCACTCCATTCAACCACTAATCGTGCAGCCCCAAGTAAACTCTTTCCAGCCAACACACCTCTCTCCAATCCTGCAAGCTCAAATGGAGGTAATCCAGAAACCCATCCTCTTATTATATCCTTGGTCATTTGGGGTTGACTCTTAGGTACAATACTATCCGTATCTAAAACTGGAATAATTTCTACCCCAGGCCATACCTTTTCGGACAAAAATTGGATAATAGGCTCCGCCGATTTCCTCTGAATGCTTCGCAAGCTTTCTACTCTGTCAACATGTGTTTCGTATCCTGGTGGATCTTCAGGTGCTTCAGGTGCCCAACATAAAAGTGAATCGGTGTCGAGATACCGCATTACAGTTGTAACAATATGAGTCCTGATCAAATCTCCCCCGTCGTTTTCTTCATCTATGATATCGAGAGCGCGGTTCATGAGTGAAGTCATCGGTATAAGATGAGTCTTCAAAGCTTGCTGTGCAGACACAAGAAGATCCCATTCTAGGGCAATGGCAGATGCCAAATGTGGTTTATGATGTGGTACGGTGAGGATATCTTTGGAAGGTCTTCGCAGAGCTCGTTTGTCAAGAAATATTTGTAAACCCTCTGCGTTCTCAACAGTCATTAGCGGATTTGTTACTTAAAAGGACCTATGGAATTGACAAATATTACCTTCCGTATCCTGCACATGAACATCCTTCCAGAACCTCTTGAGTTTCGCAGTTCCACCGCCTTTCCCATTAGCTACAGCTCTCATATCTTGGCCCTTCTTGAGTAGCTCTGCTTGCTTCCTCTTCCTTGAGACCCGAATATCGACATGCTCGGCACTGGGAGTTGGCGCGGCTGGTGGCGGGCCAGATGCTGTGAATGCCGCAGGTGCAACTGTTGCGGGTGAAGGTGGTGTTGTGTGGATGCATCGTTGGCTCAATGGAGCTAAAATTTGACCACGAGAGATTCGTAGGCCTTTCAAGCCATTCACCACTAGTAGTTGACTAATGCGCTTCATTTTTACGGAGTGCTCATAAAGTGTGAAGATAGCTTAGAAAATAAGTCGACATTGAGGTTGATGCGGCTATGCGGCCGCTTGATGCGTTTTCCCCGCATCACGTGCTAATGCGTCCCACGGACAATATCTTTCACTCTTGACATCTCCGTATCAGAGATCAATCAGACCTCGAACGAGATTTGCACGATACGTAGCACTTCGGAGCCATCTGACTGTCAAGAGGAAACGCGTACATATCGAGATTCTAGTGGCTCTAGCGAGTTTTCCGACTGTTTTTTCCCCGCACAAATTGGGTCGTGGCTATCATTCATCTCTTCCTTAGACTTGAGTAGTTCGAGTCCATCTACGGGGAAGCTCTTGCTAACTTTCGTAAATTCATCACTGCAATGCCAGTCGAACTTGCGTAACGGGTGATCTATCACATATACTCTTTGCCAGATGCAAGTGCACTCTCATGGATATAGCTTCGTGCTTGTAACAATTTCCCGTCATCAGTTTCGATGCTCTCAATCTCACAATGACTTGTATCCCGAATTTTGGATCATATTTACTGCGCATCTACAATTATAATGTTGTTGATAGTGAGCTATTAAAGTCTAATCTCGACGATGACGGGGAATAGGACTTAAACTCTCGACTATTGAACCTTAAAAGTTCATTTTCTCGTGTCTTCTGGTATGGAAGACCTTTTGTTGCAAGTCTGTTTCAGAGTATAGGGGTATCTCCATGCCCTCTGTCTTTACCACTGATCAAATCCAGCTTGTTGTGACATGTTGGTAATGGTCCCGAGCCTTATGCTACCTGAAAATTGAGAAATTATTACATAACCTCTTGGGCTAAATCACAGATGAAGTGAGTTCTAGCTAAATTCCACGAATCGAATGACAACTCTCTCCCCATATTTCCAGACTAAAATAGAGATATCAGATACACTTTAAGCTTCAGTCACATTGGAGCTATACTTTTCGTTAGGTGAACTGGATACAGAAGAATGGATTTTATAAAGAATGAACATGGTTACCATTGGACCAGCCATACCCCTTAGGGCTCTGGCGTCGATCTTATAATACATTATATGCCTATTCAGGCTAGCACCTTCTTCTAATACTTTAAAGAAACCTTTCCGTAGCAGAAATTATCAACTTCTGTCGATTACTCCAGTACATCTTTGACTCCCTCACCCTTCGATACCTAGATACTTGGAGTCAATGGACCAGTAAAATTGATTCCATTATTCGAATGAGATATATCATTCCACGGTATTTTACACTTTCTTTTTCCAGTAATCAACTACTCCGAACTAAAACTACTTTGCTAACCGCCGTTGTACCTTCCAATTGAAATGATCAAAGTCTTGTATCGGTCCCTTCCTTTTTAATCCTACTTTTAATACCAGTTTGTATTACATCCAGCCAGTAGTCAAAGTCTTATATACCCAACACACTCACTCAACAGATAATACAACGATAATTCACAGCAAATTCGCACACATCACAACTAAACATCAGAATTACTCGACAGATATATACTACAGCATTTTATATATTATTATCAAATTTGAAAAGGTATTCTCATTCGTTTATCCTGAATTTGTGCTTGGCTTACAATATAGATAAAGGGTTAATATTGAGTCGATTATACTATCAAGAATGTCTAGTCTCTTTGAAAGGGTTGGTAGTGGAAAGATGTGTTTTAACAGACTACAATTCAGAATTCCTCTTTTAATACACCATTTAGACTATACTATCCACAATGTGCGTTTACAATCAAATTCTCCGACCCTCTTGTATACAACGAGGGTCTTTTCCGGACTGGATTAAACTATCAGGATCAGCACTGACTTCGATTCACAAGATCACGCCTCATGAATCTCAAAACTTTTCGAGATATAGAACTAGTTTGGGGTACGAATGATTCATAATTCGATGCTTCCTAACATGTTCGTATTATTGATTGAATTTCCTCGAACCTGTAGAACCAAGAGCCGAGTAGAAGCAGTCGAGCAGAAGCAGGATGAGATATCGAAATCCGGGCAGTGATAGTATTTTCAGTATATCAAGAGGGTATTCATTTACTTGTACCTTGACTGATCACAAATACCGATATAATTTCGAAAATTCCCTTGCTTTCATAGATTCGCACGTTAATTTTATTTGATGGTATTTCATTTGCACTAAAAACTATCAAGACAATAACCTCAAGGAGATGAGTCGTATAAAGGTTTTATATCAAAGATTTTCTTGTACGCGAGTAAGAATACATTTTACTATAAAAGCCTACTGATTCTCAAGAGCAAACCTCGTGTATTGGTTGAAGAGACGAAGCCTATGATCACTTTGACAATCAAATGAATACTTGACGTTGAGATTCCAGCTCTACTTTACTGCTATTACCTGATTGCTTAAGCCGAGGTATGGAGTTCTTAAATAGACGGGAAGCGGGGAGTATGACTTTTTGTGGAAACCCCGTCTCAAAGCCCCACGACAATCATTGAACTGTATATAGTTTTAAAATTCGTTACCGGTTTCAACAAACACAACAAAATGTGACCATTCAAGCCTACTTGAAAACACTCTCGGTCGTCTAGTTGGTTTATGACGTCAGACTGTAATTGTATATTAAAATCTGGATGTCGCGTGTTCGACTCACGCCTGAGAGAATATCTTTTTGCAAATTTTTTAGTATTTGATATCGTTTTGAAAGTTGTTATGTATTTTATGCCTCTGAATAGTTGAATTTGTTGAAAAGAGCGGGGGCGGCCCGCAGGTGCCGTCGGATTTCAAACAAAGTAAATACAAGCCCGGATTATATAATTGATTAAGTATAAGTCTTTTAAGATAATAGGAGAAGCTATTCACTTTGCTATCTGTATATAGCTTTATAAATAAATGGAAATAAAATCAATTTTGATAACATTATTATAAGAAGCAATTTTAAACCCCTTCTTCTTAAATGAAGAAGAGAAGTCTTTAAATCTATAGAAAAACTTGATTATATCGAACTAGAATATATCGGAAACTTAAATATATTAGACTTTTTTTCTATTTTATTCTAAATTTATATGAGAATATTGGAATTTCGATGAAAACCAGTATACCAAATTAAAATGACTAAATTCCGGTATAAATTTTGATGGTCAATCTGGCTGAATAAGCTATATTTTAGATGAGTAAGCTTGAAAGGCTATTATCACATGATTTTCTCTCGAAAATATCAGGGTTTAGAGTTGAAATCGAATATAAATTTTGATTAGAAAGCTTGGGCCATCACTTTTTATACCGGAATCTTCTTTATACTGGATTTCATTGGTCGAAAATTTCAGTCCGGTATAACCAAGTTCTTCTGTATTAGTTAAAAATTAGACGACAAAAGATGGCAAAAATAATTGTTATTGAAGGGAATTGAGCCCAACGGGGGGGTCGAACCCCCAACCTTGTGATTTCAGAAGAACTCATAGATATTGAATCATAAGAGTCACACGCTCTACCGATTGAGCTAGCCGGGCAGGCTTTGATCTTGCAGATATTGGGACAGTCCTTCTTTACATACTTAAAGTGTTGACGACGGTCGAAAAAGCTTTGCAAAAAGACCAAAGAAAAACTGTAATTAGCGAGGATTGGTTTGGTTGGTGGAGGTTCTGAGTGGAACATTCCTCAAGAAATTTCCGAAGAACAAAAGAAATTTGTGTCAGCCGCAAGTAAAAAGAAGTGTTGATACGTGATGTCTATGATAAGCAAAATGGTAGAATCAAACGTGCATTGTGGGTTCACAAAAAAATGAAGGATCTGACGAGTATCCTTTGGAACGGGAGTTACTGGAGTTTCATCATTCAAAAGATTATATAGTTAAACAGGTACTATTTACCATGAAAAAATACAAACGTCATGTCCAGCCTTCGTGGCACAATTGGTTAGCGCGTGGGCCTTTTATGATATGTTGTATCTAACAAAGCCCAAGGTTGTGGGTTCGAGCCCCACCGGAGGCTATGACAACTTTTTGGGTGAAGAAACGTTCGGAAACATTCGGACATGCTTTAGCTATCGGTAGCTTACATCATTTAATATCTCTTATCTTTTAAACCGGTCATTGTCGTTTATTATATTTGTCTCGAATTTCATTAGGACAGAGGGAAATATTTCTCATTGTTATATTTTACTATAACGTAGTTTATCATCGAGTGGATCATTATAAATACATACAAAATTCGTCTATACATAACCATACACTTTCTTTATTTAATAATATTATTTTATAAAATTTGAAATTATGAAATCTAATTATATAAATATTATAAAAATCTAATTTGCTTTTTAAAATTCTAATTAATATAGGAGTTATTATTAAAATAATATTTTTGTAACGAAAATCGTAACAATTTATGATTTTTATAAAATATAATATTAATTTTCATATAAAAACTAAATATTTATATAAGAAATCTTTTCTTATTAATAAATCTTTTTTCTTTTTTAAAAAATATTGATTAATTATTAAAATGTAAATATTAGGAAAAGGCTAATTTTAGTGTATTTTGAAGTGGCCCACTCGATGATATAGTCTACTCGATAATAAACTACGTTATATATAGAATAGTCATTCCTCTTTATATAAAAAAATAAATATAATATCTTTTATTAATTCTATATACTTCATGTAATATCTTATAAAGTCTACTTAAAATTAATAGAGATAATTAAACTAATTAATCATGCTAATTCTATATAATCGAGATAGAAGATAGAAGTTTAATATCATTTAGAAGGACTTTTATAATTTAAATCTCTCTTTAACGTTATATTAAAATGTATATAGCTCTTAGCTATTATATAAAGAAAACTCAAAATTTGATTTAATCTTTTCGAACATTAGTATTTGACTTGAAATGAATTTTTAATTCAATTAGGAAGTCCTTTAAAGGATTTAAAGGAGGACTTAATTCCAGTGTTGAGCGTGCGTTTGATGATGAAAAGCATTTTATAATACATTTTGTGATTGGCTGGCTTATGTCAGCCCCCACCAACCATTCCATTCATGCCATTGCCTCGGATAAGTTTGAATTGAGTGAATTGATATCGTTGAATTTGAATAAATGCGAAATCTCAAGTAGACATTGTAAAAGTGCAGCATCAACTCTAGGTCTTTTGGCGAGGTGTACGACGCTAGTTTAACCAATTATATATGAAATATTCTGTCCATTCGAGGAAGGCACGATAACACTAGGTAAGTACGCTGCTGCCCCAGTTTATACCCCTCAAATGGAATCCGAGGTCCTCAAGTCCTCAACCGAGCATACTCCTCCTCCAACTATATCCAAAATCGTATTCCACCACTACCACCTATACCAGATACTATACAAGTACATCAACAGGAAACTAACCGTCAGAAAATTCAATCCGAAATGAATTCTTCAACTTCATGGAGCGATTCGTCTGTCCATGGACCTCAAAATGTACGCGGAAACCTCGGAGCTAGTACGAGTAGTGATCCAAATGATCCTCGAACGAGTGATGGAGGGCGAGGGAGTTCTACTCTTATTGCTTCAATACAAGATTCGCAGACTCAGAGATGGACTTCTACAGCAGATAATCAGGCCTATACGTGGGATTGGAACTTTGCTGCTCAGTATGTTATCAGTGTCTCACGAAACAATATTTAGCACTTGTTATATTTCACTTCACATTATCCAGTTACTTTCAGTTACATCATTAGCTACTAAGTTACAACTAATCAAAGATATTCCTGGAAAATCTTCTATTTGGCTTTCCTCTTGAAAATCTAGGAATTCAAGAATCTATTCTTAAACAACCAAATGAACGCCCGAAAAGGTTGTGTTAATGCGTTAAATGCTAATGGTTAGCAGAGGTGACCAAACCGAAACCAATACCAACACATCCTCATACCCTCATCCAGATTTATCACTACCCCATCCAGATCTAAATCTCGATTTCCGTATGTCAGTTTCCCTAAATCCTCGAATCTCGGTCGGTCAAACACCATTTGGACATCGAAATTGGATATCCTTCACAGGTGGTGTGTGGTCTGGACTATGGGGATCAGGAATCGTATTAGTACATTAGCACTTTCACCTCTCATTTCTGTTACTAATGTTTCAAAGCCTGGAGGCCAAGATAGTCAACTAATAATCCCTGACGGGTCAGCTCGTTTAGAAACGAATTATCTACTCCAGACTCATGATGATCCTCCAGCACATATCGCGATCAAAACGCATGGTTGGAGAACGGGTCCTCCTGAAGTCTTAGCTCAGCTAGCGGACCCGGCTTTAGCTGATCAAGTTGATCCAAGTACTTATAAATTCAGATTGTTTATTGAGATGGAGACAGGTGATGAGAGATATTGTTCAAAGGTCAATTGTGGAATGTGGGTGGGCTGTGGAATGAGAAAGGGGGCAGAGGTGATCTATGAGTGAGTGGTCATTTTCCAAGCCTGGGCTTCGATGCAGATTGATGATGTTGATTTAGTGCATATCGAGTATCATAAGACCGGATCCGTAACCATTCTAAATCTCGCGAAAACAAATGTTTTTAAGATAAGGAAAGTGTGCTATGCTATTCCTATAAGAGGACGCGAAGCTAATAGATTAGGCAGTAGTGGATGTTGAAATTAACGACCCGGGAGTTCCACTTCTTCAATTGACTTCGAGCAAATCACGATGGGATATCCAGGCTACTTTCAGCGCTGTCATTATGTCCATCTTAGTACTTTAGCTGAAATAGTTGATGTCTTTGCTTGTGTAGATGCAATATGAGATTGAGTGTCTGGCCATGATAAAAAGCTATAAATGAGATGACAACATATCATGCATCCTGCAGAGTAGTGAATTTTATTTTCTTCCTTATGCTATTCACTAATGATCAATTTTCAAAGAGAAATCGACATGAGGTACACCTTGATGTATCGAGCTCGTGGAGATGATGTCTATGTCTGTATTCATGAATTAGCGATGATCAAGAGAGAGGGGACTTATTGAACCTACCATTGTTGATATACGTTTCCACATTCTCAGACGTAAGCCCTCCACTACACTCTAGTAAGAACTCCCTCTTCCCAGCCCACCTTTGCCTTAGGCTCTTCGCAGCAACCTTCAATCCATCTCCCGAAAAATTATCCAACATGATGATGTCAGCACCAGCTTCAATAGCTTCATCAGCACCCTCTTCGCTATCAACCTCCACCTCAATTTTTAATGCGAACCCACCAGCCGCCTTTGCAGCCTTAACCGCATCAGTAATACTACCCCTAGCCCAAATATGATTATCTTTCAACATAGTCATACTAGACAAATCATGTCTATGCCCATCTACCCCTCCAACAATCATTCCATATTTCTCCACCAACCTAAAGCCTGGCGTAGTTTTCCTCGTTCCAGCAAGAATCCCCTCGTACCCCGCCTTCCTAACTAAAACCTCCATGTCCCTCGATTTCGTCGCAATACCAGAACAACGACTCAGTGTATTAAGTGCAACTCTCTCTCCTAGTAAAAGTTTTCGTACTGGACCAGTAACAGTAGCTACAGCTACTTTTCCGGATGCGCCAGGATCGACTAATGTTCCTTCCTTCATATGCCATTTCACAGAACATCCAGCTTGTGCGAACACCTCGTCGAAAAACGGCACACCTGCTAATATTCCTCGCGATTTTCCATATAGAGTTGCAGTTCTTTCGCTATCGCCAACGACAAATCCGCCGTAATCGAAGGAGGGGGTGTCTTCTGCAAACCAGGCTGTGATTTGAGATTTCCAGTGGACAGGAAGAAGATCGGCAGGGTTCCCATGTTCGAGAGCCATGGTTTTCGAGAATTTATGAGGTTATTCAGGGTGTTTGGGAGGGAAATCGTATAGAATTGAGGCAAATGAGTTTCGTTGCTTAAGACGTTATAGTCATAGATTGAGTGTTTGGAGGTTCGGAGGGGTGGGTCGACTGGTATCCGAGGTAGGCTCTAGAACTAGGGGGCGCTTGGGCCTAGATTGGCCATACCCGATACCAAGCTCGGGTGCCTCTACGTCAGAGAGAAAGGAGGCCGGATTTGATCACTTAAATCTGAAATAAGATAACAATTATTTTCGTCGCTTTATAATTATAGATTCCATTTGTAGTCGATTTTACGAGTATAATTCAATTGATTGAACAATTTTGTTAAAGATTTGAATGGTCAATTGCGGCCTGTTTTTTTTCTCCTACAAGGTGCCTAGCTCGCCTAGGTAAGGCCGACGAAAAAGATTCCCGTAGTTGTGTGTAGGCAACTCTCAGCACTAATAGATAATAAGAACTGCACAATCTATTCGATATTTATTTACCTCTGAGCTAGCAACTATACTTGAATCAACTCTTGGTCGAGTGATGATCACGTCGAAAAGACAACCAGAAAATCAACATAAGAAAGAGACTCCCTTCTCTCTAGGTCCTCTGTCGTTGTCTTCTCGTTCACTTCAGTAGATTGATTGGATCCAAAGATGGGTTATAGCGAGAACGTTTGTCAAATCTGTGCTGTATCATTCAATCTAGCAAGGTGCCGCACGAAATATGAATCACCAGATGCTGGTTGGGGCCATTCGACTAGTTTGTATTATGCCAGAGAAGCGAGAACCTGCTATGACTTGTCAGAAGAAAGTGGCTGCTAGAAAATTGCCAGAAATAGCCTATTAACTGAGCATATTGCTGGTCCAAATTGTGTTTTCGATGGGGGCTACAGTGGGTATCGTATTTCAGTGGCACAAATGAAAGTGAGTGTAAATTTCTCGGGTAATCTCCCAATACTCACGATTGTAGGATATGAAGCTATCTCGTTACATCATTAAGAAACCAGAAAACCATTCTGAAGAGGAAAATGCACCAGATTATGAAAAGTGCAGTGATTACTTTATCACAGATCAGTCAATCACCACCCAAGATTCTTGGCAGCCGGGTGACTTGGCCCGTTACCGTTACGGTGTCAATTCGTTCTTGGCTATGAATTATGAAGTTATAGACAAACATGGATTTCCTCGTGGCATCCCAGTTCACGAGTCATGCTGGAAAATCTTCGAACGTGTTTCCAAACTTCGACTGGGGAGGGTTGATCTCCAAGGATTCGTGGCCCTTTGGCATGTAAGTGGCATCGACTACAGTACCCTACAATGTTCAATGTTGACTTGTTATTTCTTCAGAGGTCTGCATGCTCAAATTGTGGTTTCCAAAATATTAAACAGGAATCCATAATAAAGGAGTGTAAACAGCAGTGGTGGAGACATGTTCCTGGCTCGGAAGCGCGTTTTCAATCCCAAAAATATCAAGATAAATATTAATATTTTGCTAGTATCTTGCAGCCAATCCTCACGATATTCCGGGATTTTCCCTCATACTATTAGAGGCATATCAGTATCAACATCCTTATGATAGGGAGAAGGGGGCTGTTTGGCGGAAAAAACTATTCAATGGAGATTCGTCGCAGCCATATGTGAACTCAACAGATCATTTCAACAAGCTTCCGATCGAGCTCAAGCAAAAAAAATTATACGAACTTGGATCTAAGGATATCGCAAAACTCCGCGTAGTAAGTCGCGCGTTTCGTCAACTTCTCCAACAGCTGTTTAGGCATCTCCTTCTGAAGGACTTTCCTTGGTTCTGGGAGATCGATCATATTCAACAACGCAAAATGGAACAATTCCGAAAAATGCTCCTTGAACGATATGGAGAAGATCTCGCAGGACTGAGCAAAAGAGACGACTTTGAGTATGTGCAATTTATTAAAGATTGCGTCGCTATGAAACCACCAAATTTTATTTGGAAGCGAGTTTATGATAGGGTCAAACTTTTGCAGAAAGGAAACCTGGGCGTGAGGAATAGAGTGAGGGTCTGGGGATTGGCGGAGAGAATAGTGGAACGCATTGGCCATTTGAGTGGTATAGAAAGTGCCGGGAAAAGATACGATCCAAGGTACGAGGAGGATAACTTGCAGGTCAAACCTACGAAGGAAGAAGTTCTTAGTGGCGCTGTCAATTATGGGTACGAATGTAGTGAATGTTGTAATTACCAGGTTGAGAGAATGGAGAATATCGAGCGAATGCCAGATGCATAGGATATTCTTTATCTCGTCGATTGCTTTATATTCAACATTAACTCAGTAGTTCAAGCAATTTGAATTATCTTATTGAATCCAGACATTTTATCCATCTCATTGCCAGAATACAGGCCAGACAATTGCAAACCCTTGAAGAACATGGGGTACTTAACCCAGCGCGTGATTCTTGTATCTTTCTTTTGGTAAACTGATCAAAAGTTTGCTCCAGTACTCTTCCCCTCATTTTCTCTGATGGGCGCGTAAACGCTGACAACAATCTTTTGGATCGCCAACCTCCCAACGCAATCCTGCGGCAATGGAAGTCGGAGCTTGGAGCAGATATTTTTCTACCTCTACCTGCAAGATTGAAGAGACTATTATCAACACGATGGTAACCAAGCGCGAACAATTTGAATAATCCTCTGAAGCCCGCGGGAAATACACTCAAATCCTCGAGTACTCATCATTGGCCAGTAATCTGACAGTTGGAAGCACTGCCGGCGAGCCCAGCGGCTATCGATGGTTGGCATCCACCACGCTTTCATTTAAGACCTCAAGAAACTCATGTGTATCTTGGCTTCGATTGTGGATTCTCCTTACTTGACGCTTACTTCTCATCATAACAAACAATCTGCAGTTATTGTGGCTCCCTGATTATATCAAAAATTTACTTCCCCGTCCCCATTCGTCTCAAGATATTTGTGTAGCTCTTCAAAACACTAAAGTTCACCATGACATCACAATGTGATGCAAAACAACCGCCACGTCCTCACTCGCCTGCATCAATGACAGTACCACAGATTCCGTCTCCTATCCACACCGAACAACCTGTTCGTCTTCACCCGTCATCCCATAAAGTCCGGGTGTCACTAACTTTTTCTTTCCCAGAAATTAATCGGCGAGATGACTCTATCACCAGTATCTGAATCTCCAGTAAACTTAAGAGGAGGTGGTCGTCACAATCGGCATCATCATTCCCATACAGGAAGAAAGTAAGTTCTTGCAATTTTCTGCTAATTGGCAAACAAGAGAAAGTTTCATACTAAAGTCTTATGAGAACAGCACTGCAATAGTGGGTGGTGTTTGCTGTTGTGAATGCTGTGAATGCTGTTGCTGCATATGACGAAAGGGTAAAAGGGACAGTAAGGTTATAAGGATTCCGGGATAATTGCAATTCTTGAGTTGTAGGATGGGTTGTTGGTGATGGGAATATCTTCTAAATTAGCTTTCTGAATCTTAATATTCCACTTGGAAGATCGAATGCTAAAATTGAGAGAAACCGGCGTGATTTAAAGTGAGCTTTGGATATTGAAGACTGAGTGTCTTCACATATTTGGAAGGATAAAGAGAATTGTATTCGAGCCACTTTCCATACTCCAAGTTTCCATAGCTTGAACTGACAAGAATTACAAAATGATTACTGTGAAAGTAAGAGTTTAGGCCATTACTCACTATACACCTAAGCGATTTCGTGACAAAATCCCCATAAAAAAGCTGTTTTTTTATATAAACTATAATATTGAATAACTTTCTGATAAATGAGAAATGTTTATTGAAACTTCGAATTATAATATTTAATTATAATTCAAATAAAATAAAATTATTATAACGTAACGTATGGGGAACTCGGACATATGGGGAACTCGGACACTTTTAGCCCATCACCAACTTGAAACCGCAATAACTTTTATTATGCATACCCAATCACCTTCTACATCTGCTCAAATTGAAGAGAAGCTTCAAAAGGCTATAATTTCACTTCAATTGAAAGAATTTAAATCAATTAGAAAGGCTGCAGAGCATTTTGAAGTCCCTAAGTCTACCCTAGCTGATAGGCTGGCTGGGAAGAAAACACGTTCCCAAACCCACGAAATGGCTCAAATTCTTTCAAACGCAGAAGAAAATACTCTTGTACGATGGATTTCACGACTTACCATCACTGGATTCCCTGCTACACCTATGTTGGTGAAGGAAATGGCCGACGAAATTCGTCTTCGACGCGTTCGGGTCGCGTCATCTCGAAATCCTACCTCGACAGAAATTCCACCTATAGGCCACGAATGGATCTATAGATTCCAAAAACGACATCCAGAACTTAAAACATGCTATTCACGTCAATTAGAGTCTAATCGGGCTAAAGAAGCAACTCCGGAGAATATTCAGGCTTGGTTTGACGCGTTTCGCACGCGTCTCATTGAGCGAAAGTATGAATTAGATGATATGTATAATATGGATGAAACCGGATTTGGAGTTGGAAGTACTCAAAGTACGCGCATTATAGTCGATTCTACTCAGAAATCGAATTGGAAAGTTACAGCTGGCAAGCAAGAATGGATAACTGCATTTGAATGTGTCAATGCAGCTGGAAATGCTCTATCACCTATGGTCATTTTCAAGGCTCAGAATACGAATTCTGCATGGATTCCAAAGGACACACCTCAAAGCTGGCAGTTCTCTACTAGTACAAATGGATGGACCTCAAATAGCCATGGATTAGAATGGTTAAAAAGGGTTTTCGAACCAGAATCCAAGAAAGTGTCAGGTGACCGACCTCGACTTTTGATCATGGATGGCCATTCAAGCCATATTACAGGTAGCTTTATTGCTTTCTGTATAGATAATGATATTGATTTACTTATATTACCTCCTCATTGCTCTCACTTGCTTCAGCCACTTGATATTGCGGTGTATGGGCCAATGAAACGATATCATGCTTTAGAGGTCGATCGATATTCTCGAGCTGGTGTAAAGCGAATCCAAAGAGCTGAATGGGTAGAACTCTTTCAAAATATTAGAAAAAAAGCATTGAATTCTTCTAATATTAAAGCTGGCTGGAGAGGAGCTGGTTTAGTACCTTTTGCCCCACGAAAAGTACTCGATTCATTACCATTTAACTCCTCCCAGCAACCTTCTACTCCACAAATGAGAACCCCCAATCAAGACCTAGACTTGTCTATACTCAGGAGTTCTCCTCCAGATGGAACAGAACTAAGGCAAGCAAATCAGATCTTTAATACAGCTCTAGCAAGCAGTGGTTCTCCTGCATCGCCAACTCGTCGATATGCCAAGAGAATGACTAGGCTTGTAGAATCTCAAAATGCTGAGATAGCCCTACTTCGGAAACAGCTCTCTGATGCTCAGGAGGTAATTGAGACTCGAAAGAAAAGAACTAAAGGCAAAAGAGTCAAATTACAAGGTCAATTTGTCTTTAGTACTAAGGAAGTATTGAAAATGGTACGTGAGGCGGAGGAAAAACCGAAGGAGAAAAAGCCACGAGGACGGCCACGCAAACGCCCAATTGAAGAATCAGAAGAAGAGATTGAAGAAGAAGAGCTAGAGAATAGTTCAAGTGATTCGGAATTGGAATTGGAGGATTGTGTGGCTCGTAGAACAAGATCGCGTGTAGAATAATTGAAAAAGTGTCCGAGTTCCCCATATGTCCGAGTTCCCCATACGTTACGTTACTACAATTGAAAATGATATTATTTAATAAATCATATAAAATATAAATACAACTAATAAAAATATCAACAAGTTTTTCTATTATAAGTATTCTAATCTCTATAAAATGTTTTATTTTAATTAATCAATAAGTAATAATTAGAATATATTTATATATAGAATTATAATAAATATAATTTAAAAGTAATATAATATAATTTATTAATATATCAAATCAGGCTCAAAAAAGGATTAATAATAGATATAGGAATTCAGATGAGATTGATCTTAATAACTTTGTATATATATAAAGATTATATACTTATATATAAAACAATCTTCTAATATATTTATAATTATTAATATGTATAAGAAATAAGATTGATTGTTTTAATTTGATCTAAATGTTTAGTTAAATTAAATGAGTATATTCTATAAATGATTTATACTTTTAATTTATTATTTAATAAAATTTATAATCTCTTTTAATAATATATCCTATTATTTACTATATAGCAATCTTATATAACAATTCGAAATGTTTTTTTGAATTTTATTAGTTATTTATGTATATACTGATCCTCAATTACTATAATAAATTAATAAGTTATATTTAATCTTTTATAAACATTATCAATTAATTTATCAATTAATTTACCAATTAATTTATCTTTTATAGGTACTATAAGGTTTATCAATATTAAGTAAATATTAGTTTTTAATTTATTATAAAAATCAATATCGAATTTGTTTGTTAATAAAATTATATACTTTCTATTCTTTAAATATTTATTATCTTTAATTGTAAAGTTTAGTTTATCCTTCTTTTTTCGATTTAAAATATTTAATTGAATAATCTTAAATCTTGATTAATAGATTATATAAAAGTTATAATAAAAAAGGAATTCAGATTAATAGACTTATTATTGATTTAAAGTTTTTATTATAATAAAGTATTTTAGGTTTTTATAATTAATAAGAATCTCAAATTCCTATTACAAACCTTGAAGTTTTAATCATTATTTCTTTATAAACTTAATAATTATAAGAAACTTTTTATTATAAATCTTATAATTATATTTTACTACAAAATACTTCACTAAAAAGTAAGTTATTAATTATAAAAGATTATTAAAATTATATTAAAAAAGTATTCTCCTCAATACTCAATCTAAAGTATTTATTTTCAAAATTGTTTACTTATTATAATTAAAATATACAAGAATTGATATTATTATAAATACATTCTTGAATATAATAAAAGCATTTCTATATAATATATTTCAAAATCAATCAATATCTTTTTATAATAAATTATAAAAAAATTAATAAATCTTTAAAAAGTTTTTTATAAATTATTAATAAAAATTAACAAATTTTAAAAAATGTTATAAATCTTTTATTGAAAATAATTGTCTTTAGAATATAATTGTAATAACTTTTTTAAGGTTTATCTGTATATTTTTAATTATAATTATCAATTTTAAATAGTAAATAAAAACAGTTTTGAATTTACATTTATTTATATTAATTTATAACTTAGTATTTGTTAACTTTTATAATATAGTTTGAATATA